TTCCTTGAACTTTGTTTAATTTACCTTTCTGTCAGAAGGATGTTTGATAAAGATAAATAATAGAAGAAACCTTCTATTCGTTTCGTAGTATTTAAACGTCATGTTGTGGTAGTATTTTAATACTAAATATTGCGTATTTTCCGTCTTTATAAAATAATAAGTTATACAGAATGTAGATTCGGACATTTATTTTATTTTATAATACTGGGCGACGTGCTTCTAGCTCGTTAATTTATCAGGTTCCTTGTTAATAAAATAAAACTACAATTCTAGATTCTTGTTATTTAAATTTATATAGTAATTATTTGTTATTCTTTAAATCAGCGTTAAAATAACAATAATACTAACAATTTCATTTATCTGGAGTAGTATCGTTCTGTGTGTGTGTTTGTATTTGTATGTACGTGTTATATATTTTGATCTTTACTGTATAATGCCACCTTAAGATATGAACTTACTGGTGTGAGAGAGTACATAAACTATTTATGTCTATATTTAAATGGAAGAGATATAACAGATTGTTGTTTGAATGCTGTGAATTTTTATATTTTTAATTCACTTTTACTAATTTTAATCACTTTATTGCTTGCATATTATTGCGAACAAAGTTAATAAATTAGCAGTTTATTACATAAAACTGTATCCACTTTTAGCAGAAATGTACTTTTTTGTTTTTAGTTCAGTTAGAAACATTTTATTGACGTGGCTTTAAGCCGGAATTAATATATATATATATAATGATAAAAGTAGCATGTAGCTTTTAATTAGTGAAAAGGTTAAATGTTTATTTAATGAATGTATGGGGCTGCATAAGCTGATAAAATAATACATGTTTGCTGTCTCTTACAAAATATGGGTCACTTAATTATTATACCTTCTGGGGAAAACGTTTCGAATTTTAAAGAAAAAATTTATATTGTCCGTGTTACCATATTTATAATTATTTTTACCTGCATCAGTCAAATCTCAAATCATGCTTCTAACGTCACATCTCTCAGTATCAAGCACAAAAACCTCTTGCTTAAGCGCACGATGATGGATACTCTTATAGAGGCTTTTGCTGTTTACGGACGTATTTTTGTGAACAGCCTGTTTTAAAGAATGCTGCAGCATGAATTATGACGAGAATATTTTTTTAGTGAAAATGTTTACAGGGGCCCTCCCACATAAACTTGTGTTCCGAAACTTACAAGGATCAAGCCGGATTTTGGAACAAACCAATGAGCCAATGTTGTATTATAGAACACCTGCGTCGTTCACATACACGCCATTCACACATCTTCACGATGCCAATTACTGTAATAGGGAGTCCAGAATAGACTTAATTTTATTATGATTTCATGTGCAGTAAATGATGATTAGAAAAAAGATATTACATTATATTTTATAACCACTTTTTACTTTTATTCTCTGCTAAAACACGAAAACACTTACTTATCAGCAGCAATTAATATTATTAAATTAATAGGTATATTACACTTAAAATATGTAATATTTTGTCTTTGTGACAACAGAATTGTTGTGATAATTAAATTGTAGTAGTACAAAAATGTAAATGGCATAATTAAGAGAAATCTCTGCAAAAAATATTTTACCAAGAACAATAATGCGTTATGGGGAAAATAAATTAAAAGGATTAATATGGCGGATGCGCGAACTATTGACATATATAGATTATTGTTTAATATCATTGTGGTATTGGAACTGGGTGTGTTCATGGTGTCAACAGTGATCTTATTAGCTTTCCATCCTGTCTCAGTTTAGAAAGAAGTTTCTCCTGTGTCTAAGCACCACAACACGAAGACATGTGGAAGTCGTTAATATGAGTTGTCAGTTCCCAATTTGGCCTGTTTTACCCTGGGAAGAGAGCTCCCGGTACAAAATGTACAGGAGGTTAATTGACCCTAGAACGAGTATGGACCCGCCGACAAACGAAAAGTCCTTGCAAACATAAAATTGTCCACGCCATGTATTCTAGAAGACACAACTTAAAAATGTAAACAGCGATCGTATAGGCTATTTGCTGGATTGCTAGGGTTTTTAAGATTAAATAAACTTATGTCTTTCAAACGCATAACATTTTTAAGAGAAATAATTTTCGATTTTGTAGTGTTTCCTTTAACTGGGATATTTTTCAAAACTCTACCGAAGCACCCATAATGAGAATGTATCCGTATTTTTATTCAGTACGCTGCACTTTGAGGACAGATTTCTTGTAATGTTAAGAGTAGTTGGTAAATTCTTCGCCAATTACGTAACCTACCGTTTTTATAACCTGCCACTGAACCCTGACCTCAGCATCAGAAATCAAGTTCAGATCCTACTTATGTAAGATCCTTTGTAAAGTTACTATCCCATCTGTATTTATGTCTACAAAGTGGATCTTTCTTTCAGATCCTTGGAGCCTTACACAATGTTTAAAGTATTAATTATTTCGAAATTAATTATAAGAGGATCAGTTTGACTAAACCGGAGATCGGAACAAATTAAAAGGCCTAAGCGATTCAGTGGATTATTATTAAAATTAATGGATGAATGTTTTACGTCAGAGAGGTTAGTTCTTCTTCTTCTTCTTCTTTTTCTTTATTACGCCGTCTCCTTTACAGGAGTTTGGCGACATTATGAACAGGATTCTTCCATCCTTTTCTCGGACTGGGACCTGTTCATATACGTTCTTGGCAGATGATCCAGAAGTGGTTTGCCATTGCCTTCTTCTGTGTGTGAATGGAGTAATTGTTGGGATACCACGGAGAAACCGGGGAGACAGGTCCATATGAACAGGATCCTTCCATCCTTTTCTCGGACTGGGACCTGTTCATATACGTTCATGGCAGATGATCCAGAAGTTGTTTGCCATTGCCTTCTTCTGTGTGTGAATGGGGTAATTGTTGGGATGCCACGGAGGAAAACTCCGTGTTGCCTAGGCCACGGCCTTGCCCAACACAAGTTATAAATTTGGGCACCGCCGGGAATCGAACCCGGGACCCCAGGATTACAAGGCCAGCGTAGAGGTTAGTTCATGATAAGTAAACGACGAACTGCTGTTTTCCGAGCCAATGTTTTTCATAACATCCGTAGCTAATCCTTAAGCTAACTGATATCTCTCTCTTTCATCCGAAAACAAAAACAAGCGAAGACAAATAAAATAGGAAAAGAAAAATTGGAAATCATTACTTAAAATTAGAGGGAAGACGAAGGGAAAAGTAAACATTGAAAAGGCCCCCTACTTCCTTTATGTGGCAGAGGCTCTTTAGAGGAGGAAAGGAGCATCATCTCCAGCTAAAATAATAGAATTATCGTTCCAAACCGTAAGGCAGGCTTGTAAATGAGGGGGTAGCGTGCGGACGCCGGACCGCGGTTACAAGGATGCAGGCTCGTTTTCTCTATACTATAATTAACCTTAACCTTGAGATTGTCCGCGTGCGGGTTAAGGGGAGATTCCGGGCGGGGTTTTTACCTTCCAAACCTGTTAGTTCCGAGAGGGAGGGAACATGGAAGCCAACGTCGCCAGACGACCGCCGTATATTTTCAACAATTATGAAGTCTGAGTGATTGATAAGTTGTGGCGATTGTCGAGTATGGACTTTCGTCGTCCAACCCGTTTTATGGCTTTAGATACAGATATTAATATTGTAAATTATGAGTACTATGATAAGGTGAACAGAAAAGAACATTTTTTTAAAATTAAGTCTTATTAGTTTCAGTGATGATACAGTACAGATACTATAAACTAAATTAATTATTATTTTCGCAATATTTGAATTTTACCACATTTTCAAAATCTTTATCAGCTACATTTATACACTGATTTTGTCCTCTAGTCTGGTAACGAGACACGAACCTATGAATACATAGTTTCACTGAGTTAACTTATAATCCAACTTCCTTACTCGATTCTAATACTGGTTCTGCGTTTTTATCTTTGTGATTTTATGTTTCGCCCATCACCAGATTTTACCAAAAGCTGATGTTTCCCATTTAATTGGATTCCATATTTTTCTTCAGCCTTTATGACAAAGTTTAAAATCAATGGTTACTAAGCGTCTCATAGTTTATTACGTGTTTCATTTAAACACATTTGAGTTAGAAGATATCCGTCTACTGGGTTGTTGCGCTGTGTAGTCTGGTCGATGTTTACCAACGTTTCGGAGGTCATACTGCCTCCGTCATCAGGGAGATTCTTAGTATGACGGGTTTGTTGCGCTGTGTAGTCGGGTCGATGTTAACCAACGTTTCAGAGGTCATACTTCCGCCGTCATCAGGGCGATGACGGAGGCAGTATGACCTCTGAAACGTTGGTTAACATCGACCAGACTACACAGCGCAACAACCCAGAAGACGGATATCTTCATTCTCACCGCTGTGAGAACCTCAAGTCTTACACATTTGAGTTAACTTATCTCATGTATCGAATTCAACCAAAATTTACTTTTGTCCGAACCGGAGCGTAGGCTTAATTGAAGTCTGTAAATAGCTGACGTATTGTTCCATTGTGTTCCAAAATTTTCTCCAGTATCTGGCTTAGATACAAGTAACGAAATACATGTTTCAGAGGCAAGTCGTTAGAGAAATGTTCCCATGATTATTTTGCCTACGATATTATTATTGATGGAACTGCAACTGAATGTAAAAAAATAATACACAAAACAGGACAAAGAAATTTAAAATGTAATTTGTTTATTCTTTCTTTACAAGGACGTCTTGTGGAATGAAGATGTCTTCTGGGTTCTAGTGCCGTGAGAACCTCAAATCCTTCTTCTTATAGAATTTTGACTTTGATGTTTTTTGGGGTTGTGACGCCGTGCAGATTTGTAGTAGATATCAGCGTTTCGAAGAAATTTACTGTGTGCATTTTCAGCCTTGAAGAAAGGATACAT